TAGGTCACTAATGGGCTATTTTGAGCTCTCCCAAGTGGAAGACAATGGAGCATTTAGTAGGTTGTGGAGTTATGTAAGATGTCTCTTTCCAAACAAAGAAGAGGCAGGACACCCAGCCAAAGGGTTGAGCACAGGAGGCTGTGTGGTCTGGTGGTTCCAGGGAGAGACATGGGGCCAGGGCTTCCTGGGTTCACCTACCAGCCGAGACTCTGACTCAGGGGGAAGTGGAGCCAAGACTCTTGGCTTGAGGCAGATAGACTATAAAACCAGGAGAGACAAAACCGCAGGTCTGTGCTCAAGGACTCAGGGGAAAAACACATTTTGGAAATTAAAAAAAAAAAAAAATCACCCTGTTAAGTTACAGTTTGGGACATTTTCAATCAGAAACGAGCATTTTTCCTGCTTAGTGGCCAACACATCCTGCTCTAGGCAGCAGTGTGAAGCCAGGCCAGTGTCTGAGGGTGTTCTGTGTGGATGAATAGAGAAGCCTTGGGGTGTGAGCAGAGTTAGTCAACCTTGGTGAGTTGTCACAAGTAAGGTTCGGGGAGCCAGGCACTTGGGGCAAAGAGGTTGTGCATGAATTCCTCGCCTCTGCTCCTTCTGCCCTACAGTAAATGCCCTATGAAACTGGGAGAGGAAAAATCCCTTCCCTCCAACTTTCTGGATGCCTCACTTCAACCAGTCTGACCCAAGGTTTGCTCACAAGTAACCAGCAGCCTGATTGGGTGCCGACACACAGCAGAGCTGGGGCTGATGGGAAATGTTCTCCTAGTCCCACCAGCTCGGGAAGCTCTGTGCTCACCCTGGTCAGACAGAGTAGGTGGCTTCCTACATAGTTGTGCTTGAAGGATGGCTGGGTGGGCCTCCACTCCTTGGCATCATGCCTCCTTTCTCTGGATCTGCAGAGTTAAAGTTATGCCAATGTTAAAGTCATACCAATGTTCATGGTACTAATCACTAGCAGTTGCGTTAACAATGTCTTAGTCACATGGAAATGGGATGGGGGATGAAGGGCAGATTTGCTGTGGAATGGGTGGGGTTGGGAGGGTCTCTTCTTCAGAAGAGTAGAGAGAGCCCAAGAGAGGAAAAAGATATAAACCCAATAGCTGTCTTGATAATTTTTCCCAGAGCTGTCTGGAGTAACTTTAAAATCAGGTGGTAGGTGGGTGTGAGGTTTGTACCAAGATGGTTACTCTTACTCTAACCCAAGTCAGGCCAAATGGAATCCAGGTTTTTTCTTGTGGTCACCTCATCCGGCCACCAAATATGCTCATGATGTCACTCTTCTCTACATTTGCCTGCATGCATGTTCCCAGCCATTGGTTAAACAGCCAAGTCAGTGTCTCAAGTCTTAAGTGTTCAGTGTTAAAATAAAGTAAGCCTTCTCTCCTTTGGAAACTGTATACCACATTTCTGTCACTTTTTGTCAATATAGGTAAAAATTAATGAAAGATTAAAGCAATTTGAGAGAACACTTTCTATTCAGTAGGAGTGCATGAATTCTATTCCAAGTGAAAGAAATTTAAAATAATCCACTGAGGTTAGTGATGGTTTTATTCACACGCTTTTCCACTTTGGTCTCTCTAACAATTCAGTCCAGCTGACACATCACTGTCAGGCCTTTCTGGGACCTCAGTGGTCTGATAGCCACATATCTAGGAAGGTGTAGGAGATGAGTTGGGGTGGGTTTTATAAGATTACAATCATCTTCTCCGCTCGTGGTGCCCCTGTCCCCTGCTGTCCTTGAGTCATCTTCTTGCTCTCTAGAATCACATCTGGTGGGCAGATTCAACATAGTGAGAGGGGTCTGGGTGGGAAGTGGAACACATCAAATGGGGTACCCTGGCCAGAGTGATGTAGTCCAAAGCCTCCAGGTTCAGGGCTCCAAGTGCCCACCGACCTCCTGTGGTTCAGTCCTCCCTTTGGGTCTCACTCAAGTTCTGAAAGCTTTGGGTGGGTCTCTGCCCCATCTCAGGGCCCCCTGCCTCCCTTGTAAAAGAGCAAGAATCAGCTTGCACCCCACAAATCAGGATCCAGGCCTCCCATCCTCAGCCATGGTCAGAGAGGCTGGGTTAAACAAAAGACTTCATGTTGCTAAAATCTTGGCATTTGGATTATTACTGTAGCACCTGCTTTTTCCAAGAATAATAGATGAATACATGTCCCAAATCCTATTGATTACAGGATCTTTCTAATGACCTTCCAAAACAAAAAAGATGGTATCTCTGTACCTATGCTTTGGAAAGAATTAATAAGCAGATATAAATATTGGTTAGAAAAAAATTAAAAATGAATTATTGGGCCAGGGATGTAGCTCAGTGGTTCCGGCACCTGCCTCGCAAGCGGAAGGTCCTGAGTTTGATCCCTGGTACCAAAAAGAAAAAGAAAAATGAATTATTGTATTAGAGCTGTCATCCTCCTATATATGTTTTATTTTCACTTACCATTGGAATTTTTGAAACTGCAACACAATATCTGATATTAGTCATTACTTTATAAAGACTAATTTACAAATGATATGGATATATCAGTTAAAAAAATTTATCATGATGAATAGGCTCTATCAAGGAAAAAGTAGATTACTGGCTGTGTAATTTTGACAATTAAATTGGTGAAAAATTTAAATATTCATGTTAATGTGTTTATATCCAGCTTAGAGAATGATGCTCCATTTGGTATTTTCTGATGGTGCTCAAAAGTAAACCTTTTATGATTCTTGAATGAGAATCAATGACTCAGAGATAAGCATATCAGAGATGTTTGATACTAGCTTTTAAATAAATGAGGGAATGTACGATAATGTACAGAAGAATGATAATGTATAAAAGCTCAGTGAATTAAATCAATAAATCTAATATTTAGAATATACAAAGAGCTCAGAAGAGTAGACCCCCCAAATAAGACTCAATCAAAAAATGGGCAACTGAAATGAATAACACTAACACTTCTCAGAAGAAGTACAACTCAAAACATCATTGAGATTCCTTCTTACTCCAGAAAGAATGGCTATCATCAAGAACTCAAAAAAACAACAAATGCTGGCAAGGTTGTGGGGGAAAAGGAACAACATTGTTGGAGGGAATGTAAATTAGTACAGCCACTATTGAAATGGAAATCAGTATGGAGATTCCTCAAAAAACTAAAACTAGAAATGCCATTTGACCCACCTGTACTTGTTCTGGATATCATCCCAAAAGAGTTAAAGGATCATATTACAATGATACATGCATACCCATGTTTATAGCAGTACAACTCGTAATAGCTAACTGTTGAAAGCAGCCTATAGGATGGTCAACAGATGAATGGATAAAGAAAACGTGGTGTATGTACATAATGGAGTACTATAATGTACATAATGGAGTACTACTTAACGGAAAGAAGGATAAATTTGAGTCATCAGGAAAATAGACACAACTTGAGAAATAAATCAGACACAGGAGGTTAAATATTGCATGGTTTTCTTATACAAGATACTCAAAATGTAAGTAATTTAAAGAACAAAATAACAGATACGGTAAAAATAGGGAGATAGACTTTGTGGAGATGGAAAGAGGATCTGAGGGTGAGGGAGAGAGAGGGGAAGGGGAAGTAAAAATGATTACGATGCAACATGTATATGTTCCAATTGCCTAAGGTGAATGCAATTACTATTTATCACAAACACACACAAAACAAAAACAAAAGAAAAGCTCAATAAAGATTTGTTTTAAAAAGCTGGGGTTAAACATGCTTCTCTTACTTTAAGTTACAAATGAGACGAAAAACAAGAAAAATGCCACAGCCTTTACTTCTGCCTGAGCGAAGATGAACACATTAAAAAATAACCACATGGGGAAACCAGTAAATAGGGATCCAAACAGATCCTAATTCTGTGACTTCTGTGACTAACAATAAAATTTGGCACTATCATATTTTATCTCATTTTATTTATTTATTTTTTGAGACAGGGTCTTGCTCTGTAGTTCAGGCTATCCTTAAGATCACTGTGTAGCCCAGGCTGGTCTCCAGCTTGTGGTGATCCTCCTGTCTCACCCTACTGACTGCTAGGATTACAGACGTGTGCCACCACGCCCGGACTACTATCATTTTTTAAAAGTAGAATTTTTCTAAGGTCCATTTGACAATATTTCTGGTTTATAAAAAGTGTGTCACTGAAGAGAACAGCAAAATAGAGCTTCTTTTCTATGTTGCTGTCCTGTGATACAGGACACGTGTCACAGGCCATGTAGATTAAGCTAAAGAACAAAGAAACCAAATATATATTGGTTTCTCTCCACGAGCCAGCCTGTTTGCTAAATGCAATGTCATTCAACCTTCCCCATGGTACTGTGAGGCAGTTAGATTTTTCTCTGCTTTACGTGAGAAGAAGATAAAAACCAAATAGCTTGTCCAAAGTCACACAACCAATAAATAGCAGCCAGAGTGCCAAACATGGGACCTACCACCCTAGCACTAACCCTAACGAATCCAGCTTTGAATATGTGTCCTAAATTGTTATTCCTTTCTTTTTGCATCCTACAAGTTTGTCTACCTAAATGAAAAGAATCACTGCATTTTACACTGTAATTAATGCTTTAAATTGCCTCAGAGCTGGAAGGGGATGTCCTTGAATTGAGATTTGGAGTGGGGAAGACCATCTGTTTTTCTATGTAACTGAAAATGTTGACTCTGCCTGGATGTCTGGTACTCAACATGTACCCCATTCTTTTGGAAAATTTTATTTGACATTAACTGATACAAATTAATAATCAGCATCCCAGGTACCCTTCCAAAGGTTTTTTTTTCCAGCTCAGACTCTACCTGGGGGGCAATTACAGACTTGATTTCTGCAATGGATACAGAGTCCCAAAGACAAAGAAGTCAAAATAGTAACAATTTTTGGGTCTATTCCCGAGCCCCACTTTTGAAGTTTTTTTGAATTAAATATTAACATGTGAGAGTCTATGTGCACCAGTTCATGTGTATCATACAGTCACCTAAAAGCACATCTGAACACAGTGTTTTCAGAGACTGAAAATTTTATTAAGAAAATCTGTAGTATACACATCCTCTTTAAAAACAACCACCTCAAACATGGAGAAACATTTCATTTTCTACTCACTATTTGAGCAAGGCCAGAAGAATGAAACCGCAACACCAAAATACAGACCAATATTTTTGAAGGGGATAATAATAATCATTTGCAATAATAAAGTACTAGAAAATCAGAAGAAACAAATCAAGGTATTCATTTCAAAGGCGCAACCGCTAAATCTTCATCTAAACGAATGTTTCCACTGTGAGTCAATGTCTTTGGCCATCACATAGCTCCATACACAATGTACAGCTAAAAACACGATAGCTGTTTTATTATATTAAAAACTGATAGCCAGTGGATTTACAGAAATATATGGCCACATAACAGGAGTTCAGAAACAATCACTGGAAAATACAAAGATGTGTTTCATGTTTGCAAATGATTGGATCTGCAGGGCAGTTTTTTCGTCTCTGATTATGGTTAAGTAACCATTCCACAGCTGTCCTTTGGAATCTCCCTCGGATACCCATTGTCCCCGCCTTTACTAAAATTTAATAAACATGTTCCAGATACACTGCATGAAAGAAGGGAAATGCAAGAATATGAAAAGAGCCTAACGTCTTGGACAGGAACAGAAAATAGATCCATAATACATTCTTCCTGTCAGGACAAAACACTTGATGTCTACAGCTGGAAACCCCTCAAAAAAGATCATCTGCATTTTTAATTCGAAGAGGAAAAAAAAAAGTTAGGCCGGTTACTTGACTACAGTTTCCAGGGCCCTGGTGTAGCTATACTCTTAGGCACAGTTCCAAGACGCTGCCTACACAAATTTGGATGGAGCGGGGGAGGCACAGATGGTGGTCACGTGAAGGCACAGGCCGACTGAGTGGGCTCGGTTACAGAGTCTGTACATTTCGGCTGCTGTATTCCTCCTATTTCAAGTCCTGCCAAGTCCCGGCTGTTTCCCTTCTTTCCAAAGTCTTGATTCGTTTAAATCTCCTGAAGGAGGTGGGAGAGGAGGAGGATTGCTCAAATCTTACTCTCTTATGGCTTAGAAGAGACAGTCCCCGTCTTGGCTTCCTGTCAGGTTTTAGATGTAACATTTTGCTAAGTGTAAAGCTGTGTATCTGTTCTTTTTCTGTTGCCCTTATTGTAACTTCAATATTTGCAAAACATAACATCAAAATACTTCAAATCCAGCCCAAAGCAGTTTGTTATTCATGCAACACAATTCTTACACATATCAATACACAGTGAGCTTGCAGCTAATCTCTTCTTCCTTTCTTTTCTGTTCCTTTCTTTCTTTGGGAATTTAAGAATGCTGATTACACAATAGTAAAATCCCTGTCATGTATGCATATGTGTATGTGTGTCCTGACTACTATAGGTATTGTTATCAAGCTCTATTACTATCTCAGCTCTTCTTGGTTTCATTGTGTAGAAAAAGGAAGCTTACAAGCTAAAGTTAATCTATTTAAAACAACCTGTGAATCATCTGTAAAGCATAGAGCACCTTCATGATGTGGAGAATATTAATTTTCTAATATAAAATCTTGTAGAGTTCACTATAAAAAAAGTTGCTAAAGGTATTCAGGATGGGCTTCCAGTGATGCCCGATTCATAGTAGATAACATTAAAGTACGACTTTCTTACTCTTTAAAAGCACGACTTTCTTACTCTTTAAAAGCCTACAACATTCCAGATCATTTTCTTCTCTATGTAGGAAACTTTATCAAAACCCAAAGCAGAATCAGTTTGGGGGATTTTTCTTAACAGGGCCCCAAGGACTTTTCAGGTCATCTCCAAGAGATTTGGTACTCTGTGGATGATATTTTTTGTGTGTGATCAATTCTGCCCTAAAGTTTTATCCATTGAGTTGGCCAATGTACTTTCTTGCCCTGAGCTCAGGCAGAGCAAGGCCATTTTTAAAGTGAGTTAAAACACAAAAAGGTTTTCGCATTTGTTAATCAGGTGTTTTATCTGGAGGACGTAAGAGATATTTACAGTCCTCTAGGTTACTGTCTTAACATTTTCCTTTTTATTTGAGTATTTTTATTGTGCAAAAATTGACACCATTATCACAATCAATGTAATTATTCCTATATCCTCAAAAGCAAACAAGAACATGTTTTCCTTTTAGGGTAGAATTTAATGATCAGAAAAGTGTATCAATAGGGAGCATAGAGTACTAATAGAGAAATTCTTGATAACACTTATGTTGCCTGAATTTTCATTTTTGGCTCCTTCATTAAAACACTGAAATTCTTCAGGATTTAATAACAATGGTACCATGATAAGGTACATGTGCTTTAAGTCTTAATTAAAAATAAAACTACTGCCCCAAGACCATGGACATATTACCCCAAAAAGGACACCAAAACGTTATTTTGAGTCTATAGGTTGACTACAGGCACAGGTTATGTATCAAATGCAATTTTATGAATAAAACTCATGGCCGTTACCCAATTTTCCTGAAAGGTACATGGTTGCCAAGAGAGATACTTTTTAACATATCACAAATGTGCTATTTGTATAAACATTTCCTATGACAAATGCTTTTGTTTTTGTTTAAACGAGTGTTTTTAACCTGAGCATTAGGAACAAAATTTTCTTTTTATAATTCTTGGCTTGGGGTGGATCTTTAAGCATGTTCTCTTGTGAGAGTAATTTCTCTTAACACCAACAGCACTGCGTGAGTACAGCCAGAGCTCATTAAATAGACTTCTGAGCATAATTATAATTAACAATTAGCTAGAAATTAGTTTTAATGATTTGTTTTAGATGATAGAATAGAAGCACAATGTAATTATTTTTAAACCTTCTACATCATTAAGAGTACAGCTACCACTACCTTCCAATTATTGAGAAGTAGACAATCATCCCCAAGCATTTAGCAAGTGATTCACTTAACAGAAACCAACTAAAGGAGCCCGAATTCCGCATCCCAGCCCAGCTCTTTATGATTACTTAGCCCATTGCAAAGTCTATTCCTTTTCTCCTCTGCTTTGTAAAGCTATCATGTCCCGCAGACATGTCTACCAGGGAAAATAAAAACATTCAGCCTGGACATTTAGCTCTTCCCTCACTGCTGCCTCTCACCAAGACACCCCCGTGAAGAAAATGGTGAGAGGCGTGAAAGACCGGAAGAAAACTATAAAATCTAGCAAGTGGGCTTGAATTGCCAGTTCACTTCATTGAACTGGACCAACAGGAAAGAAGGTCATATGAGTCATGGATAAAATGAGTGTGAGGAATAAACCCCACACTCTAAAGATAGATCTGTGTCATTCGTTCCCCGTTCAGCATTCTTTCAAAAAAAAAATTTTTTTTTGGTTCCTGGGGATCGAACTTGGGACCTGACCTAAATCGCCGGCCCTCTTTCAATTTTTAATATCCAACAAATCAATTTGGATCTTGTTCCCCCCACCAAGAATTTTTAAAAATACAATAGAAACCTGAAGAAATGCTCTTTGTTTTGTGAAAAATATAAAAATATTCATTTAGACCAGTGAACAGTATTTATTGTCACAAGTTTTCTCTTCTTCAAAAAAATTTTTTTTCTCCTCAGCTCCTCAGTGTGCTGTTTTCTCTCTCACCTCAGAGTGAATCAGTTAGGCCTTTTGCTGCTGGCCTTCGGAAGCTGTGAGGGAGCACATCCTCACACCCGCATAAAAGACCTGGTACCTGTGTTTCCACATCACAAAGCAGGCCAGCAAGCACACAAGGCCACAGACCAGGTTAAGGACCATCTGGGTGAGTAAGAAGAGTTTGAAAGTGCCAGTGACGCTGGCACAGTCAGTCACATCCCGGTAAACAAAGGTCCTGCTGAGTGGCTCGGAGGAGGGCAGTTTGCACTGGCAGGAGTCAAGTGCGGGCTCACAGGTAAACTGTGTGAGTTGCAAATAGTGGTGGGCAGCGAACGCCACGGCCAGCACACACACTGTCAGGCCCAGGGCACTCAGCAGAAAGTACACCAGCTGCAAGAAAGCAGAAGGAAACCTTGCTGGTTACAAAGACCATTGGATGACTCTTTGCAAAGCTAATTAATGAACACTGTTCTTTTTCTTCTCTCTCAGGAAGAAACCTAAGCACCTAAATAGCTTCATGTTTATTTATTAGGGAGCAATTATTAAATCCTGATCCCATTTCCATTTGCCATACAGATGTTGGGCCCCTTTCATGAATTGGACCAACTGTATTAGCTTGATTGTGGGATGTTTATGTCTAGAGGTAACATGCAGTCTAAATGAATCCCAAACAAGATAGCCTTCCCTGGATGATACAATGTGCCTATTTTGAAATCAGAAATTGATAACTAAGACTAGAAAAAAACAGTATGTTTCTGTAACATAAACACTGCTTTGGCCAAAATTATCAGTAACTGATCAACTAACAATACAGGTTAATGAAAAAGACTGTACTTGATGTAATAGTTGCCAAGCTGAATCCATAATGCCAGGAACTCCAGCAAAAGGTGCTAGGAGAAGAAAATTATGGCTCTGGAAGGCAAGTTACTTGATGTCAGCTTCATCATTAGTCTTATTCCAAGTTCAACTATAACCACGAAGTCCCTGAGCATAAAATAAACTCTAAATGGTGCCCTGGGCAACAAGGCTCTGAGCACTGTAGTAGTCCACGTTAGTCTCAGGACTGGAAATGTCTGGCTGAAGTTCTAATTCTGCTGTGAAAAAAGAATGGAATCGCTGCAAAAGCCATTTAGCTGACTTACATCTGAAATACACTGACCAGACACTGCAGGTCCTCATTGAGATGGTCACAATAAACTCTGTTGTACAGAACAACGAAAGTTCTTGGGATTGGACTCCCTGACGGGAAACATTTCTCTTGATGTTCCACCTTTTGAGAGGCTAGATAAGGACTCACACTCCTCAGACTTGGGAAGTGACCGCAGTTCACAGGGCAAGATTTGTGATTCCACAGTCAAAAGTTGCCCTTTGCAAAGAGCAGTTCTAGTGCCTGAGAAGTTCCCAAAGTAAAATTAGTTCCAGCCATTTCCATGTTCAGATTAAAGGAGCTCAGAAAAGATTATGCCCTCCTCCTACTCCCAATTATATATAATTTAAACAATATTTTAAAATATAAATATGTGTATGAAAATCTGCTAAATGAGTGATTTTCCACAGTGAAAATTTCAAGTGTTTTCAAGTCTTAAATTTGGAATAGTTGAATTTTAAATTTATTTTTCTTGGTGTGTATGTGCATGTGTGTGTTTGCTAGTGCCCTAAATGTGTGTCTGGTTTGCCTGGAAAGAAATCCAACAGAGATTGTATATAGTTTGAATGTACTTTGAGGTCTGGAAGAGAATGGAATTGGTTAATGCTGCCTTTGTTTAATATATCTTAATATGTCTTAACTAAGGAGTGCGTGTATTCTTTGAATCTTCTCAGGAAAGATATCTTTTCAAATTATTCTGAGGTTGTCAGAGGCAACCCAAATATCTTCATCTGTGACACAGTTTATAGAAACATGGTATATCTCAGGAACATAACAAGGATAGTTTAGAGTCAACATGTTTAGTGTTCTCTGGAGAAAGGAAGCCAGATAAATACAAAGTGGTGGCATTATGGAATTTAAAAAGGAATTATTTAATTTGTGATATTAATTAAGTGAAATCTGTACTTTGATCCTATCTCCATCATATGCAGTGACTATATTTGTTCAAAAATGGAATGTATGGGCTTAACAATATGGAGCTATTTTCTGTGTAGTTCTGAAACATTCAGACTTGATGATTGACTATTTATTTATTGAGACAGTGTCCCACTATGTAGTTCAGGCTGGCCCTGAACTCACTATGTAGCCCAGGCTGGCTACAATATCGAAGCGATCCTCCTACTCCTGCCTCCTGAGTGCTGGGACTACAGGTGTGCACCACCATGGCCAGCTTGATGATTGATTTAAACTTCATGCCAACAGTCGAACTGTGCCGGCCACGTTACATATGTGCACCCATGGCAGCTGTGTCGCCCAGGTGCCCGCCAGAGAGCTGGGAACTATGGGCTCTGGGAGCATCTGTACATCCTGAGTATCAGGAGGGAAGTCTCAAGCTAAAGTGAAAACTTCCTACCTGGCAGTTATCTGCTTAGCGGAATGGCTCCAAAGAGAGTTTTCTCTATATATTTCATTATCGTCAATGGATGAACCTGGAGGTCTTGTAACCTCAACACATACCTACAAACATACATGTGGGGGGGAAACAGAGTCTCAGATTTCCTATAACATTCACTGAGACAAAAGTCAATTTGCTGAAAATAGAAATGTGTCTATTGTTAAAAGAATAGTTTCTGGCACACAAATTAAAAGATTTGCCCAAGATCATTTAACAAGTGTGTAGCAGTACTGCATGATGTTTAAAAGCATGAGCCAGGAAGCCTGAGTTAGAACTCGGTCTTCCTCTCAGTAGCTATGATCCTTGGGTAAATTAATCATTGTGCGTGCACCTATATTTCTTCATCTGTGGACTTGGAATGATGATCAGGATAGCAATGACTTCACAGGACTATTATAAAGATCTAAAGAGCTGATATCTGCACAGGGCTGTGCATGGAATCTAGTAGCATTCCTGAGGTACTTGTGAAATAAACAGATTAGCAGGGAAGGACTGGGCATTCCAGTCCTCAGGTTTCTCAGCATATCAACTCTTCGGTCTTTGTCTTCTCTGTTGTGGGATTAACAACGCATCCTTGGCTTGTAGGAAGGATGTAAACATTTACACAAAAAGTGATTGCTCAACTTTAATTGGGCCTCTTTTAAATATGCTAGAAGCCAGCAAGGACCCAAGGTAAAACCATCTCCCTTAGCTCCTTGCAACGGAAGCCGATTTATATGTGTGTATATCTCACACATTCAGACTTGGTTTTTCCCACTCAGGAAAGCATCAGAGAACAGGAGGAAGTCACAGAATCAAGTTTCTTATCTATTTTAGGTCATAAATTGTACTTGACTCTCCCCCCCCCCGCCCCCAAGCCTGCGGGCTACATCTGCAATGCGGGAGCTTTTTTTTTTTTTTTTCCTTCAGGGCTTTTTAAGTTATCTGACAGCAACGAGCTCCTGGGTTAGAATCCATAATCTAAAATCAAGTGGCTTGTTTTACCTACACGGCACGAATAAACTATCAATGAAAGCGTGTACGATGACCTTGGGAATCCGAGCAAATATATCTTGATAACAGCAGGCGCGGGAGGCATCTGTGTCTCGGGTCGCAGCCGGCAGAGGCGCGGTGGCAGCGCTTATGCAACAGCAGCCGCGCGTCTCAGTCCGCTCGCTCCCTGCCTCTCCCTAATTGGTACCCGGCTGCGGTTTGCACGTTCGGTGATTTCGGGAGGGAGGAGGCTGGTTCTGCTTCAATTTAATTACCTTCCTCGGTGGCCTGAATGCTAAGGCCCCCGCTGCAGCACGCTACGCAGGAGGAGGTTGCCGCAGCAGTCCAGGACCTCTTGGATGTGACAGTAGGCACAGTGCCCCGGAATGTTTCCGAAAGCACGTGAACGAGACACGTTTTTGAAAAGCCAGGTGAGCCCTAGAAAGCTGGGCCACCGGGAGAGGCAGGAGGCATGACCAGCAGCTAAGTGGCCTGCCAGGGGCAGAGGGCAGGGAGAAAAAAGGAAAAGCACTGGTGACATCCAGGGCCTGTCACAAGCCAGAGAGAGAGACTACATCATGCCCTGACTGCTCTCCCTGGCTATCTGAGCGTTCAGCAGGAGGAAATAAATACTCAAATCTTGGGCCAGTGTACCCGTATGGGGGCTCTAAAATGCAGCTAGGCAGGTGGGAAGCTAAAAGATGTGTTTTATTCCTGTCCCCCTCCTAAAATAGTATGAGATGACCCCAGGGAGTCAGCTGTCCCTGGTGGACCACCAGAAAACTGGAGCCTGGTGAAGCTCACTTTGGACCGGAAGCTGCTGTTAAGAGCACCTTCCGTGATTCTGGCAACAAGTATCACTAAGAAAGAGAAACTTGCCTCCATATTTGTCATCGTCTATGACAGGCGAAAAAACAGGTAGCTAATGAGAGAGATCTTCCTCGTAGGGAGTTCTCAGCCTGCCTGACATCGGCAGCGACTTTTTTCTTTGTTCCCCTAGCTCCTGATGTTAACCAAGGTACAGATGATGTGATCCTTTTGGGGCCTCTCTGAAAGAGAGGTTTGTGCTTCTCTTGTTTTCTGGGATCATGGGATGGAGGAATGAGAGCATTTCATGCAAACTGATGAACACCTACTTTAGGGTGTTTTTCACCTACTGATTGAAAGTTCCTAAAATCTAACAGATCATTTCTTACTAGGCTTTCTTTCATTCTTTCTTTTCTTTGCTTTTTCACCAAGTTTTGTTGTTTAGTAAGACTTCAGCCAAAAAAGTAAACATGAACAGATGCCTGCTCTCTCCAGCCTTTCTCTTTGAAGGAAAATTCTCAGAAGGAAAAAGTAAAATTTCCAAATGTAGGTTGATACACCAAAGTTCTAAGTCATAGCAATTTGAAAATCATCTATTTTTTAATTTAAAAAGTTATATGTCACTATTGGAGAACATTTCAAAATTAGATAAAAACTGCAAAATGTTGCTAAAATTTCAGCACTCGCAGATAACCTACTTTTTCTATACATCAAAAAGATTACCTTTCTTCTGTGGAATCATATCATACATTTTGTGTAACCAGTAATTTATTAATTAATATGTGACCTTTTTATTCCACTAATTTATTTTTACAGCATGATTTTTAAAAGTATCAACACGTTGCTAATGTCAACAGCTTCGATTGTACTCAATGTTCTAAAACATCTTATTTTCTCTTAGTAATTTCCGATTAATATTGTTGACTTACTGTTATACCTCACTTTGTTATTGTAACAAACAAAAGAATGTTTTTCTATAGAAGAAAAGTAAACAGTATGAATGGACAAAAAAATTGCAGAAAGCTTTTTATTCTCTGCTAATAATAGTTGAAAGAAAGTGTGGAATTTGATATCTACTAGCTCTGATTTCTCGGATCAGTGCTTTATGTCCTTAAATTCTGAAAGAGGGTATCTATGTTTCCCCTTAGAGATTCTACTGTGTAGCGAAAATGCTGTTCACTTGGCAAGACTCCAACCAACTACACTGTTCCTAACAGAGAGAAAATTCACATATAAAGGAAAGACACACTCTTGCCAAGCCATGCACAGCTCAAACATTGCCCTGAGACTCTTGGCTCAGATCATCTGGTTGCACCCAATGTACTTTTTCTGTCTCAGTGATCCCACCTACAAGAGGAAATACACTTAGATTGCTTCATTATTAAAATATTCCAAATAACCCCCAAGATATGGAAGTGGGTGCCAGTGGAGACACCTTTCTCTAGCCAAGTGTTTTGTTGAGCTAAATGTTCAATATTCCTTTTAAGGGCGCTAAAGGACACACTTCATATGCTTGATGCCAACCCAGTTCATGGAAATTAAGACTTAAGAAAAGACTAGCATTACCTTTGGGTCTGGATCGATGCCCTCTTAAAACATTTTTTGGCATGCCTGAAAATGCAATTTCTAGATTCATCAGATATGCAGCCCCTTAAAAAGCACTGTTTTATTTTTGTTCTTATGTTTCTTGCCATGAGATGATAAAAAAATTACTTACTTTCATAAAAAACTGGATACATGTCCGTTCATCAACTTGATACGAGACACAAAGCATAAACAAACCAAGATAGGCCACTAAACAGACCTGCAAGGAGAACACAAGATAATGGATGTTATCAGGGTGAGTCCTGATTCTAATGGCATCCATCTCAGTGTCTTTCATCAGTGACATCCATGGTATCAAACTGTTCATTTCATTTTACTTATCTTTATGTGCTGTGTTTTGTACTCACTTGTAGAACACAGCTTTAAAACTGTAAAGTCAATTCATTTCAATTTAGCTAGTATTTATTTGTGTGCCAGGTACTACGCAAGGCACTTCAGGGTATACACAATGAAGAATACAATTTTCTTAACTTTCATCAGGTTTTAGTTCAGTGCAGGCTAAAAGAAGTACGTACACCATTTTAAGGCAGGGCATTATAGTCAAGTGTAATTCAGAGAAGTATAAAAAAAGGAAGAAATTAAATTGAGTCAGGCAATGTAAAAGGTTTCACTCAAGATGTGGATTTGAAGTAGTCTTGAAAGTCATAATAATAATGACCCCTAATGTTTACTAAATACGTACTATATGCTGGAGCATTTCCAAAGGATTTGGATGTCTTTCTTCATGTAATTGGCACCAAACCTTAGAAAGTAAGTGCTATAATGATCCTCATACTGCAAATGAGGAAGCAAAGATACAAAAGACATAAACAATGGAACCAGGGAGCTTGGGTGAAAAGCAGTTGTATGAGCAACAGCAGAGGTGAGGCCACACAAAGCATGTTGAGGGAAGAGCAAACACATACCCATAACTGAATGAACTAAGTGTCAAACATAAAAGGTAAGGGCCGGGGATTTAGCTCAGTGCTTCGCAAGCGTAAGGTCCCGAGTTTGATCCCCAGTACCAAAAAAAAAAAAAAAAAAAAACACCCATAAAAGGCAAGATGAAGATCTGAGCGTGTAGGAGTGATTTAGTAAGTGGCAGAGCAACTGCAAAAGCTTCTGATCAGGGAGGTGACATGATTTGACACATTTTTGGGAAATGAGTGGTGGGGTTGGATGGGCTGGCAATGAGGAGATCAGGATGTTATTTTATTAATCTGAGCAATATTAACATGTGAAGGGGCCAGAGCTCGGAGGGTGGCAGGCAAATTCAGAGAAAGGTGGAGAAGAAAGGTGTAGCAGAAGCAGAGGGTATATACCATGGCTATGGCCTGACTTTTGGGAAGACACTAGAAAGGGAGAAATAGAAATCAACAACCACATTTTTGAAGGTCAGTGATAGCAAGATGGTGGCTGTGCCTCACTGACAGCAGCTGCCAAAAGGAATAGAAGGAAATGTACTTGGTCTGTTAGTCAAACTGTATTTTCTTTTGCATGAAGTGGAGATTTAAAAACTGATTTAGAGTTTCTAATCAAAGCATATCTATTCACATTCAATTTTGGAAAGTATAAAATGTCAAAAAAGTTTTATCCTTTAAGCTAGAAAAGATAAGCAACACAGTTGTGTTTTCTGATAAGCATAGTTTTCCTAGAGATGGATGTTGGAAGGATAGCTGAGAATCACCTAGCAAATCATCAAACAACTGGTTTGGTAATTGTCTTAGTTATTTTTCTCATTGCTGAGACAAAATACCTGACACCAGTGTTAAAGGAGGACAGGTGTATTATAGCCCACATTTTGTAGAGGTTTCAGTTCACAGTTGGCTGGCTCCAAGGCAGGGTGCTATGGCAGAGGGGCATCACAGAGGAGAAACAGTTCATGGCAGGCAGGAGGCAGAAATGCAGCAAAGCACAAAAGTAGCATGCAGCAAGCAGCCACAGTGACAACAGCAGCCCTCTTTCTGTCCCTTATATTATATCCAGGCTACATTCTGTCAGCGTGGGTAGCACTCACACCCATTATTCACACTCAGAACTATGCCAAACCAATCCATAGACTAATTTAGTAATCACACACCCTTAATCACAGCATTGCATATTCTAGATCTAGCCACCTCTGAAAAACCCCATCTATGACTGCATGAGTCTTTGGTGGGACATCTAGACACAAACTACAACAATAATATTTATAATTCCCATCACTAGCTCCTGCTTCAAGCTATAGACAGTCCTAGTTAGGGTGGTAGAGCTGGTAACTTAAAAGGTGACATAACTTTTAAGATAATACTTCTATTCTCTCCTCAGTTATATATTCAATACAATGCCTGTAACTGCATCTCTTCCCAAGTAGAGCATTGTTCATTTTTCTACTGGACCATGAAGCCAAAAGCAAAATTTCCTTTTAGTCCTGGCTCTTTCCAAGGTTTTCCATTATTAGGACTGGCTACATGTTTTAATAGCAGCAGATAACATTTCCAGTGGAGAGACACAGCACTAAACTAAGTGAGCATGGCACGGGTTGAAGAGGTGTGATGGAAAACAAAGCAGATCAGACCCCAGGAGGCAGATTTTCAGTGCAGGGCTGGCAGGTGCAAAGCAAATGATACTGAAGTATCATTATTTGTGTGGTTCATAGGTGGCTGACATTTCCAAGTCTGGGATGAAGTTCTTTTTAGAAGCACATTTTTAAAAATACCAAATCAAGCTACAAGCTTGATAAGGTCTGTTAGAATTTACTGTGTATTCTCACATTGAAGATTCAGAAAGCTGAAACAATAGAAGAAAGACCTCCTTTTTGTTTATTAGTAGCAAACCAGGTCAGGGTTCTAAACCTGCTTCTGTAGGGTCAGCATATTCCCAAACATATGCCTGTGCTTCTTCGTTGCTTTCTGTCTGTGGGTGCACAGGGTCAGAGTCTCTGCTATGTAATTCTTTGTCTCCTAGAGACTACTGTGCTGATTTAGACAACTGCCAAGACTTTTCCCCTTGCCTTTTTGAGAGACACATTCAAATAATCAGGCTTAACTGACCAGCATTTTAAAAAATCTGATTCAGTGCCTCTGCTTGAACAAAATTTCTTCTTTTTGCAGTAGCTATTTCTTTGTAGCCTTCATTTATCCTGGTTTCCAGTGAGATGTTGCATAGAAATGCATGACCTCATTCTAGAGGATTTCATTTATTCAGTCAGCAGAACTTTATTGAGGATATACAATAGCCAGATCCTGTGCTATTGTATGACTCTGGGAATCAAGAGATGAAAAATATAGTCAATTACACCAAGGACTATCCAGCCACCAGGGTCTCTTATTCCAGTGGGGAAAGAGAAAAGACAGTGAAGTTACAATAAAATGTAGGTAGTAAAAGCACATCTACTGTAAGAATACACCAAAGGGATTGCTAACTTGGAGAAGAGTTGATAGAGGAAGATGGATTTTGAAGGCTATGCAGACATTAGCTAGAAGGAGGGTATGAGGAAAGATATTTTGGGCAGAATGAGTAGTGATAGTGCAAAGACATGGAGAAACACAAAGTGAATATTATAGAGCAGGACCAAAGATGCTTTTTAGAACAGTCTATCTGGCTATGGAGAATGCAATGAATTGAGGAAAGATCTGGGAAGGGAAAAACAGCCAAGACACAATTCTTGTCCTATGGAGAAGTAAAAGCTCAGATGGAGGTGAAGATGGAGAGTCGGGTGTTTGAGTGGCAGCTAGGCAGCTGAATCCATGTGTTCTAAAGACTGAGTAGCTGTAAGGCTGAAGGAGAGGGAGGCTCAGGAAGGCACTCAGTGGCCTACATGACCTGCACGTGCAGGTATATGGTGTTGACGAGATGTAAAGGGAGCAGCAGAACAGGAATGGGGACTAATGATCACACATGGTCTCAAAGCTCAGCCATCTGGACCTAGAGCTCAGGAATGAGGTCTGGGCTGGAGATGAGGATTTGTTAGTCATCAGCATATGTGAAGCTATTGAAACCATAGGAAGCATTGGTCCATCCAAAGAGCATCTAGTGAAAATAGAAAGGGGGCCAGGAAGTTACTCAATAATGAAGAGTCTCTGAATCCTCTGAACAGAAAGCACCTTAAATATACTTCTTATAATTTTGGTTGCATATCATGTCATATCTAAAATTTATTAAACTGGTGATACTTTGAGAATTTTGAAAGCTTCACTTCTAGGTCCTTGTGTCCCCTTGCTAAAAAGCTTAAATTCAGATTTTCATGTCTTAGCCATCACATAGGACTTGATAAATTCTCAACAGTTTTTCCTTACCCACAGCTTTGGATGTTACCACACAGCTTTTTTAAAATCAGAGAGTTTATCGGTATTGAGCATAAGCATGTTCTAGAAGCACAGTATTTACTGGACTTAAAACTGAAGGCTTTATGGCCACGTGAAAGAAAGCAAATCTCTCCTGCCAGACTGAGGGTCTTACTTCCTGACCTGGCAGGACATGGGCATGACAGGAAGACATGGTGTTCTGGCTTCCCAGGCAAGGAAGGGGGAGCTCATATTAATGAGCAATGAGACCGGCCAGACCTTTCTGGCACAACATTCCTGGAATCCAGGCCAGCACTCCCATTAGATATGGCGAGGTGAGGCCCACAGAACAGGAAACAAGCAATTACGTGAGATTTTTCAAGGAGGCCTTTGTGGGACCAGACACCCAGGCCTGAGGTGGACAGGTGGTGTCACAAAGCACAAAGCCAATAGAGAAAGGGGTGGCGCTGAAAACCAGCTCTGAGAAGGCAGTAGGGCAAGCACCATTTAAGAGCTTGGTAAAAGCCTGTGTGTGAGTGGATAATTACATTGATAAGAAAAGCTTGAAGTTTGTTTTTAATAGAAAACATAACAATCATCATTTTAACTCATTTTAAAATATGTTTTAGTGTAAGGAGAAAACTTAAGTCCTAAATTTCGCATTCTGTCTACAGATATTTTTTGACTTTACTGGGTGAGGTCTGCAGTCTCTTATGAGTTAGAGATTTAAACAGGGCTGAAATGTTCTCTGAATGTTAAGTCCATTTCTAGATACAGGAGTCCTGAGTCTTGTCACATATTGGCTTTGTTATTTATTTGGCCTATTGTACCTGCAATGGTGTCTTTTAAGTGATGGAATTGTGAAAAAAAGTGGATTCAGGGGACAATGTCCTGGAAGATTTACCTACATTTTGCCCCTTTTCATTTTGTCATAGCTAGAAAGTATCACCCTAAA